TTTCCAGGTGTTGACCTTACGCAGTCCACGTAAAATTATGAAAAAAAGACAGTGCGTATTTCTTTTACGTTTCGACCCTCATTGGAGTCATCTTCAGAAATGTTTTATTACTAGTTAAACATGTATGAACTGTTGAACAATCATTGGTTAGATTGTGTAAAAAAATAGTAGGCCAAACATAAAGCCATAATTAATAGATCAGCTGTGGCTCTTTTTAACTTTTGGCTAATCCTACCTTTACATGTAACACACAAACGCTTGTTTGTTTGGCCTACTATTTTTTACACAATCTAACCAACGATTGTTCAACACTTCATATATGTTTACCTAGTAATAAAACCTTTCTGAAGATGATCCCAATGAGGGTGGAAACGTAAAAGAAATACGCATTGTTGTTTTTTCTTAATTTTACCTGGGCTGCGTAAAGTCAACACCTGGAATAGTACATTACGATACAAGTGCGCAAAGTAGGTGATTCCCGCAAGAGTCGGGTTTGTCGCCCGAGCGTAGCGAGGGTGACAACAAACGAGTGCGGGAGACACCTATGCGCACGTGTATCGTACTGTTATTTTCTTAACAAGCTGCGTAAAATTCGATTTTGCATACGCGTTTGACATTGCGGGAATGAGGCACTTTGCGCACGCAAACCTGTGCGCAAAATCCGACTTTACGCACGCTGTTAGAAAAAGAAAATTTAAGGTGTATCTTGGCTTGGCTTATAGTATAGACTACGCGATCCCTATTTCAAACTCTTTGAAAAAATGCCGCTCGAATAGACAAAGAGGGACTGAGGTGGCGGCCAGTCCTGCCACCATAGGCAATTACATGTTCCTAAAATATACCGTCCTTCTGGAAGGGAGAGCCGAGGTGTGACTATGAAACATAGACGCCTTGCAGATTGAAGGAGGCCTTCATCAAGGCGTCCTTCATCCTTAAGATAAGGACGGACTGTGAATACGGCTGTTAGCCTCGTACGAGGCACAAAAAATTCAAATAATAATTTCGCGCTACTAAAACTAGTATGCTGCAACGAATTTCGGAACACATTTTACAGTACTGCCAGTGCTTACAGTGTGTTACGGAACACACCCATAGTCAACGCGTCACTGCTATATTCGCTCGGCGACCGTTACATGAGAGAGCATGACGCATCAGTCGCATTCAGTATCGACACAAACACAGTATGTGCCGTGCGAATACGTTTTTATTAATTGAAGTGAAAACTTCTTTAGGCGCGTTGAGCACTTTTTTCACTTCTGTCGTGTGGTCTTAAGCTCACACCCAGTTTTTTATTATTTAATACGTTTTTGAATATTATACGCGTGTGTACCTGTGTAATGTAACTAAATATATTGTATGTGTATGAGACATTATCTATCTTCATAAAATATATTACAGCTAAGATCACAGAACAGATACGTCCTTTGTTTTACCAATAGGTGAAAATATTTTGCGAAAGTATCCCGTGGACATATTTATATAAATATATATTATATTATAAATATTATATTATAACTATATACAATATTATATATATATATGTATATAAATATGTCCACGGGATACTTTCGGGACCCGAAGCATTAAGGGGTCAAACCTGCAAGCTAATGTTTAAAAAAAAAAAAACTAGAACCTTGGGGTGTGACAGCATTGGAATTCTAAACTAAACGAACCTAACGAAACCTAACCTAACCTAACAATATAAACAATTTTATTAACAATAAAAAAATATAAACAAATTCCGTGTGAGAGTCACCTTTATGGGCCTCAAAACATTCATTACGCTGGAAAAACTTCGAGGTCGGACTCCAAAACAGCCATAAGACCTCGAATATGCGTGTTCGTAAAAGAAATCGACTCCAAAGTATACGATAGCCAAATTTATGTATCGTATGTACGTGTGTGTGTGTGTTTAGTGGGTTTTGGTTAAAATAAAAAAATAAAACAAAAAATGCGGGCTTACCCGACTGATTTTCATTAAATAATGAACATGCCAACAAGCTAATCGAGGTGAAAAAAAAATTCTATCGGCTTTTTTCGGAAAAGGGGCTAATCGACAGAATTACCAAATCAAACTATAATCAAGAGTCTCGGTCGAGTTTCGCGCCAAGTTACAGGCAATCCGCCGTACGGGGCTCGACCCGCCGAGACTCTTTACTCGAAGCATCTCTTGTACCTGTCTTCGACTCAAATATCTTATGAGCGGCTGTATGTGAGACAAATTTATTGATACATTCACTCTAGGAATCAAGGGTTCTGAAATGATTGCCACCAAATTCAATACGATTAGTGTACAGGATCAGGACCTATTCACATGGCGAGCGAGATGATTTTATTTCAGGTCCGTCATCGTCGTCGTCATCTTCGCACGTCCATCGCATTTTTTACACGACAGATGGCGCTGACTGCTTTGTCTTCTTTACCTATTTGTACTCTGTATGGGTTAATAATTTACGAATACACAACACCATCAAATACACATTATACGTGAAGCTACCGTTCATACCGAATTTCCAGTTCGTATAAGGGTGCTTTCACAACGATATAGAATTATTAAACTTTTAATAGCATTCATGTGGAGCGCGCGTGTATGGGTGTATGTATATGCGTGCTTCGACCCATTTTAAGTGACAGTTTTTAGAGATACAGGATGTCCAGGTGTTCCTCTCCGCAGTTTTCTGTATCTAGGTGGCGGACGTGGAAGTCCAGGGTGTCCAGATGTTCCGCTCCGTAGTTTCTTGTATCTAGGTATTGGATGTTGGAGCCAGGGTGTCTAGGTATTCCGCTCCGTAGTTTCCTGTGTTCAGGTGTTGGATGTGGAAGTCCAGGGTGTTCAGGTATTCCGCTCCGTAGTTTTCTGTATGTTGATGTCGGATGTGGAAGTCCAGGGTGTCCAGGTATGCCGCTCCGTTGTTTCCTGTGTCCAGGTGTTGGATGTGGAAGTCCAGGGTGTTCAGGTATTCCTCTCCGTAGTTTTCTGTATCTAGATGCCGGATGTGGAAGTTCAGGGTGTCCAGGTGTTCCGCTCTGTAGTTTCTTGTATCTAGGTGTCGGACGTAGTAGTCCAGAAAAGTGTGCAACAAGCGCCGCTTTGGCGCTTCGCTCAAACTATAGTATCCTCTCTGATGTTCGCACGGCCTGAGGTATGTAAATAATCCAGCACACTGAGATTATTGAGGCGAAGTACATAATTCACTATATGTTTGCCTATTATATGATCTAGCACTGGCCCATCATTTTAATTGTATTTTCAAAATTTCCTATAACGTTTTCACTGCTCCTTTACATTACTATTGCTTTTCATAGTTGATTATGATTGAATGGTTATTTAATAATTAATAAAACTTTAGCTGATTCCTTATCGAGTACTACTTGG